CCCCCACCCAGTATGCCTTTCTCAGCTGGGAACTTTGGGTCCCAGAGTAGAGTTAGCTCAGAGCAGGATTATAGGCGCGGGGTCTCCCAGGGACAGGTGCCACCTTTGAGGCCATACCCTATCTCGAGACTGTGGCGTGTCACTGTAGAGAGCCAGCTCCCAGAATGCCTGTGACAGGGACGTTCTTCCTCCTTGGGAAGTGACAGCAGCTTGCCCTGTGCCAGCCCTGCCGTGGCCTAGCACCGCGATTCCCTGCACACTGTCCCCCACAGTCCTCACCACGCCGCATGGCAGACCGTGTTACAGATGAGACAGAGGCTCCAGCAGGTTAGCTCCCTATCCAAAGGGCACGTGGCGACTAGAGCCAGAGCTGACACTTGCTTCCTAGATCACATGGTCTCTCTCAGCTCCTTCTCAAGGCTTCCTATAGCAATTCCTGGGAAGTGGGAACTGGACAGTCTTCCCCCTTTTTTTTTTTTTTTTTGAGAGGTTTTTGGTATAAGGCACGTGCACTCGCCAGGCAGATAGAGGAAGACAGAGAGACAGAAAGCGAGAAATCACCCCCCCAGGGGGGATGGCCACACCGCAGTCCCTTCTCCATTCTCCTCTCGAGATCTTGGGCATGCACGCACACACACCCGGCGTGAGTTTAAGCCACCGGCTCTGGGATTCAAACCGTGGTCGACTACATGGGAGTCCAGCGACATAGCCATTACACTAACTGCTGGTCCCAGTCTTCCCACTTTCTAGGTGGGAAAACTGAGGCTCAAGGCCATGCAGGATTTGGACCTTGAGCCAGACTTCAGATTCTGTGGGCTTCATGCCTGCATTCTGCTTGCACCACCAAACCAAGGCAGCCACTGAACTATGGGCGGCGAAGTCCCTGGACTATGTGGAGGGCCCACCCACCCCCTTCCCTTGGGGGGATCACCAGGAGCCAGCTTCCTGGACAGAGTGCCCCAACCAGCAAAGAGTGACCTGCAGGGCCTCAGAACGCAGCGAAACATCTTTGATACCCAGTCCCTGTGGACGGGGTGAGTGACAGCCAGCCCTTACCACCGGGAGCAGTCGTTTGGCTCAGGAGGGCTCAGGGCCAGCTGGGCTCTTGAGCCGCGAACGCGTCTTTCCCACCTCAGTGGGACCAGAGTAAGGCCTCCATGTCCGCCTGGCGCTCACCCTCCCGTGTTTATCTAACTTCCCTGACCCCGGCGTGTGTTTGTCGCCTTCCTTCCTTCCTTTCTCAAAAACCAGGACACAATAGGAAGCGTTTCCTTGAACTTATTAAAAAATCCAGACTTGTAAATTAATTTGTTCGTGTTGTACAAAGGCAGTGCAGATGGACTCATTAGCATGCACACAACAAATAATTATAGATGAATTTTTAGCTGGCCTGCCTAATGCGCTTGCTGGGTTAATTATGTCAATGTATAATTACATCAGCCCGGGGAGACATAATGGCATACCCTGCTGAGCAGGCCCTGCCTAATGACGGGGCGTAGGGGCTGCTGACAGAGGGCCGCTGCCGCGTTCCCTGGCTCCCTGGCACCTGCTTACCTCGGCACAAGCACCCATTGTCCGAGCCTCCCGCCACCTAAACAACTGAGCAGGGGAAGGATGGAGAGGAGACCTTATTCTAGCCGGTCCTGAAGGCCCCCGTGCATAGCCATTGCCCCATTTCTTCCATCAGCAAATATTTATCAGGTAGGACTGTGTCAGGCTTAGGGTTAGGTACAAGGAGGCCAGGGGGCAAGAAGAGATGTAGCAGCCCGCCCTCGTTCTGGAGTGAGTCCAGTGGGTGTTACGCAGTGCACTTGCAAGTAAATGTACGTCATAGCTGCAGTGGGTGTTGTAAAGAAAACATGCAGGGTGGGAACCAGCAGTTAGTGTAATGGCTATGTCGCTGGACTCCCACGTAGTCGACCGCGGTTCGCGTCCCAGACCCGGTGGCTTAAAACTCACGCCGGGGACGTGTGCGTGCATGCCCAAGATCCCGAGAGGAGAATGGAAGAGAAGGGATTGCGGCGTGGCCATCCCCCCTGGGGGGTGATTTCTCACTTTCTGTCTCTCTGTCTCTGTCTGTCTGGCGAGCACATGCGCCCTAAAGCAAAAACCTCTCCAAAGAAAAAAGAAAACATGCAGGGGGACCAGGCTATATCGCTGAACTCCCATGTAGCCAACCACGGTTCAAGTCCTAGACCCGGTGGCTTAAACTCACACTGGGAGCGTGTGTGTCCGTACCCGAGATCCCAAGAGGAGAATGGAGAAGGGATTGTGGTGTGGCCATCCCCCCTGGGGGGTGATTTCTTGCTTTTTCTGTTTCTCCCTTTCTGGCGAGCTCATGCACTCTATAGCAAAAACCTCTCCAAAAAAAAAAAAGAAAGAAAGAAAGAAACCATGCAGGGAGGAGCTCGTATCAGAAGACTTCCTGGAAGAAGTGGCATTTGAGTTGCTATATGAAAGACAAGTAAGCAATAACTACCTGACGGGGAGGAAAGGGGAGGTGTTTCTGGCAGAAGCTCCTGCCTATGCAAAGGCCCTGAGGTGGGGAGGTGCATTTGAAGGACCTAGAAGAAGCCAGTGTGACTGCAACTCAGAAAGACAGGAATCGTGGGGACTCCCATTTGTTCTGAGCTGGCCGAGCGTCAGGTGTCACGTTGAGCACTTTATGTGGCTCCTCATCACAGCCCACGAGGTCGCTACTCTCATAGTCAGGCTCAGAGAGGGACGGTCATCTGCCGAGGCCACCCAACAAGCCCAAGAGGCATGTATGGATTAGACCAGGATGCAGAGGCTTCAGCCTGGAAGCCACGCTCCCAACTCCTCTGTGCCCCACAGGGAGCGGTGGCCAGGCAGATGCTGGCAGGACACTCCAGTGGGGGCCAGGAAGAGAAAGGGCTCCAGTGCATTAGAGAGAGCTGGGCCAGCCCCGTGCCCTGGGGCTGCGGCGAGAGGCCTGGCCTTCCTGGGGGAGCCCTGCACACTGCCCGCCCCGCCCTGCTGCTGCTGTGACAGGCACGCACATCACAGGCAGGAGGCCTCTGGGCTGTTGGAGCCAGACACCCAGACTACAGCCCCACCTCCACCCTTCCCAAGTCCTAGGGCTGCTCTGAGCCTCAGTTTCCTCAGCTGTGAACACGGGTTGAGTTCAGGCCAGCCTCCTGGGGACCAGGGGACCCATCCCTGTGGCCAGGCTCTGTGGGATTGTCCAGGTGTTCTTACCACCTGCCCAGATGGGAGTGGGGGAGAGTGACCTGGAAAAGACGGGGCTGGGCTGGAGGGCGGAGGGGCAGCTCTCCAGGTAAAGGCCGAGGGAAGGGGCCCGTCCTCGGGCAGAGGAGCCGCTTGATCTCGGCCAACAGCATTGAGATGGGGAAGGCGTCCTCCATCCTGCTAAGCATTTAGCCCCTGGAAAAGCCGTTCTGTAATCAGCAGTGCATGTCACAGCCAGGATCCCCCATCCAGGTCCAGAAAAGCAGCCGCCAAGGATCCCGCGGGCAGGACAGTTACCACGGCAGATGGGGGTAGGGAACCGGACAAGGCCTAGGGCCTCAGACCGTGGCTGTGTGAGCGCAGGGGCAGAGGGGGAAGCCGGCTGGGGCAG